TTATAAATATAAAAATGTAAGCCAACATTGTTACTTGACAATCTTACAAATAAATTACAAAATTTGAATTAAAAATTAACATTAAATTATTAAAAAAGTAATTTTTTAATTCTTTGCAATGAATCCTATAACATATCAATAACTTTATCTTTGCTTATACATTGATTGATATCATCTTCAACAAATATATCAGTTAAAGGATCCAAATATTGCTGGCTAAATGAAGATTTATGTTTGTTTTTTTAAATTTTTAGTTTTTAAAACACTCGTTCACTCTTAACTTGTGTGCATGGAAGTATAAGAACATATTTTAATGATATGTACAGTGTATTGAACAAGCCTGTTTTAGTTGTAAGTTTAAAAAGAATTTGAAATATTTTTGGTAAATAGTTATTACAATTTTGTTCAATGCTTACATATTTATTAGAGTTATGAYCAATTATAATTTTAAACACATGGTTTAAAATCAAGCATGGCTTAATTGAAAATGTTCAAAAACAAAAACAAATCAGTTGTCCACAGTGTGAAAAAAAATTTTGTTAAAAAAAAAAATATGTTGCGCCATTTAAGAACAATTCATTATAATGGTGATAATGATACAAATAGTATGGACACAAGTGTATAACATAAATATTGTTTTAACATAACAGCTTATATAAAGCCTCAATTATAGAATTTAATTTTGTAAAATATCTATATAAATGTGATATTGAAAAAAAAATGAGCCCCTTTAAAGCACAGTAACCTGTGCAGTAACCTGCACAGCTATTTGTGTATATAAGAAAAATTGTACAACCATAACGATCGACATTCCCCGATGCATCAATAAATAAAATTTCCCCGCTTTCATTCAATCCAGAGCTTATTCTTTTCATTAATGGACTTGCAATGGTAATAACAAAATTTCCATCTTCAAAAGTGTCTATTAGAGCGCAAGTTTCAGAACAGTCTACATTATATTGTTCAACTGCATCTTTCAGTGAAGTTAGCATTTCTTGGCCATGAGAAGCACCAAAATATTTACTAAATTCTTTATAATAAAGATTGTATACCCATTCTAGATTAGGCAATTCACCTCGATCACCAGCATAAACATAGTAGTGATTACCTTTTTCAAGACGAAGTTGTGATTTATATGAAAAAAGGGCTTTTGATGGAGTTTTTCCTTCTTCAAATAACTTCAAAAAATGTGCTTTCACTTCTTTGTTTGGGATTCTGTATTTTAATACATCAGCACACAATAATTCATGATTATGAATATGTTTAAGATCTATAATTGCTTTTGTATTATAGTTCAAAAATATATTTTCATCAGAATCATTATCATTTCTAAAAAAATTCAAAATTTTCAGTTTTTTTATATTCAAAGTTAATGTCCCCATTATTTTACTTACAGTGATTCACATTGGTTTGTAAATTTGTATTATCTCGAACCACTTTTAAACATAATGTAGCCTTGCAACCAAAATGTTTTGGATTTGGAGTGGCAAATTTGTTTGGCCTAGTGTTATGGTGGCAACGGTAACGTTTCTATAGTAAACATTTCAATRTTAGATTTTGTTATTTTTTGAAAACAATTATTTACTAGCTTTTTATTCATAATGTCATTAATTTTCATAATAGTAACAAGCACTTTTGTCTCTAATTATTTAATTATAGGTTTTAAAATACATTCACATACTTAGTATGTTTTTAAATATAAACTTTAATGTTTTCACTCGCCGTGGCTATAACAAACCAGTACCTTTTTTTAAATTGTTATTACCTTAAGTAAAACATTTATGGATGTTGATTTTCTAACATTTTAAGTTAGATATGTTGTTCTACTTTTAGTGTTTAAGGCTGATATCCATTGGGATACATCTTCTATTCCAAAATCATTAATTTCAAGCCTTACAATAAAGTGTTCTATTTCAAACATTTTATTTTCAACAATTTTATACTTATAACCTTCTGGAAGTAAACTCTACAACAGATATTTTGGTTAAATTTATTACATATATTTTAAAGTTGGGAAACTATACATTCAAATAGTATGCACTTTACTATTTAAAACAAGCTTGRCTTATTTTACAAATTATATCTTTATTTGAAATAAAATAAAATCGGAGACTCAATGMGTTGTAGTAAAACAGGAAGTCTTCTTTTTTCAGATCGACAGAGGTCAGGTGATATATATATATATATAATGGATATAGAGCAAAAGATGACTTGAGAAACTCTATTCTAGAAAATTTCTTTTTAACTCTATTACTAGGTCTTTTCAAAATTATTTAACAAAACATCAGTAGGTATACCATTTCTCTGGTAATTTAATAGCCACACGCTTATTTATTAAATCAAATAAAGATTCCTGAATTATATTATGCTACAAAAGTATTTAATTATAAATTAAATGATATTTAATAGAATTTTCTATAATATTATTCATATGTCATATTGTGGTTCACAGATATAATTCGTTGAAGACATTTCAGAACATTCTGCGACTTTATTATAAACAGCGATTGGTTCCTACAAAATATTTGTAATTGTAAAAGATAATAAGTAAACTTGTTAATTCAATTTAAAACCATATTTTAGAAATGCTCACAATTGAAACATCTTGGTCAGTATATACAACATTTGGTAAAGATGTTTTTGTTCAGCTTCATTTTGACCTACAATTCACATTTTCCTGATGATGAAAATAAGATTAATACTGGTGCATGATATGTTGTATTTTACTATTCTGTATAATATATAACTATATGTACTTACACATAATGCATTTTTATCTGAATTGCCWTTGCCAAAAAATAAAGTTGGTATAGCTCCTTCTTTTAATCGAAGTTTTTTTAAACATATCTAAGGTAAAATAAATGTTGGTGTTGAGTAAATAAGAAAGAAGGTCAATGAAAAAAATATCAATCAATATTGTAAAATATGCTTACTGAATAAGCACTTGTTCCTTGTCCAGACACCCAAGTATCTATTATATTTTCTTTCGAAAAATTATCTCCACACACTCTCGATCTTTTACCCAAAGTTATTCCCACTGCTTTTTCCCATTTTTCAGGGCATTTTTTGGTATTGAAAACCGTGATTTACTATTACCAGAACA